CCTAAAGAGAGAAAAAAGGTAGTACGAGAAACAGAAACACGTTTACAGACTTAACGAGTTTTGTCGTTGTTTGTTGTCAGCCAGGCTTTTCAAAATCAACGTGCAGCAGCAGCAACAGCTAAATCCAAAAATATAGAAACTCGCGAGCAACGAGAAAACGAACAAAATATTGTTATTGAGGTTGCATCAAGGGGGCAGCCAACAAACAAAACAGACTCACGCGCGACACCAAATGAGAGAGCGAGATAGACTTAGGCTTATGCTCCTCAGCCTAAGCTGAAGCGGAGACTTTGAATCAGACTGAGACTCAAAAGACTCGCGCGAGCTGCTCCTACGGATCAGTCCGTTTCTTTTATGCTTTTTTCCACTGATTTCTTTTGTTTTTTAATGCGTTTTTTGGGTTTTTTTTTATTTTTTGTTTTATTTTCATGCCCCATTAGTTGCCTTTGTGGGGCTTTTGTGTTCGGGGCCCGTTGTTGTTGTACCCTTTCAGAGGGTATTCTAAAGTGCAAGCAGAAGACATCTAACAGCCCATAAGATATACACATATATTATTGATCAAAATCAATATAGCCATCTCAATATTTCTGTCTCTCTTTCTGGACAAGCAAATCTCTCATTATATAAATAATTAGATCTGGCCAGCGAGGGTATGTAATCTTCGAATTGCTGAAGTTAGTCAGTCTCTCTTGTTTTTGTTGTTGTTATTTTTACTGTGTTGTCTGGTTTTGGCGCTTCGACGTTCTTTATGTGCCACTTGGGGCAGTCAGGCACGCCAGCGTCCTCAAATTTCGCGCCAAAAGCCAAGGCGAAGCCAGCATCACAGCATCCCAACAACAGTCGACCCAAGGTTTATCATTAGCAGACAACACACAACAATAACAAGAAAAAAGAAAAAAACAAAAGACTGTGGCAACAAACTTGCCAGTTCTCAGCTCCCAATTGTGATCCTTGGGGCAAGCACGCACAAACGAACTCAACAACAACAACAACAAGACGAATAAGAGGAAGATGAACTACCAGAAGAAGAAGAACAACAACAACAACAGCAATGCAAAAACAGTAGCCAACAAATCCGCTTAGGCAAATCTGCTCGTTTCTCATCGCTTTTGTTTGCCGTTTGCTGAGCCACCGTGTTGACCCTGGCATTTAAGAGCGCATCCATGGCAAAGTATTGCCCGCCAGCTAAACATCACATTTTGCATAATAATAGCCACATACATAGCTGAAATCTACAGTTTACTTCAAATTCGAGACAACAGTGGATAGAAGAAATTTTTGTCGTTCTAGGAAATGCCCGGCTGCTTCCTGCGCCGCCCACATCCCGACTTGTGTGAGTGTGTGTGTGTATAATCATATAGACCTATACTTATCTATGCTTCAAACACATACGCGCACACACCTAAAGTCGAAATATGTAAGTGTGCAACAAAAATGTTGCAATCGCGGCTGCCAATTCGACTTGTTGTCAATTATCATAATTTTACGCTCAGTTGTTGTTGTTGTGTCGTGTAGCGCTGGCAAACAATTTGTGGCAATTACATTGGCATTCCTTTAGCTGCACACAAATACGTACACACACACACGAATGCAGCTGTTTTGGCTTGAAGTTACCTGATTAGCTAATTAAATTCAAATTCATTTTCGCAACCGAGTTGCACTTGTCGCTGAAACGTTGATCGATGTTGCTACAGTTGCAGCCACGCCCCCACCGCCCAGCCCAGCGCAGATATAATCGTTTTATATTGCAACTTGGCCCAACTTGTACCACATAATTTACAATTTTGCATGCCACAGACACCCCAACACAACAGCAACAGTAACAAATCATAATGAGCTGCTGTTCGAAATGGGAGCAGCAGCAAACGGGCTGGCCACGCCCCCACCCTCCCCCTACTGATTTGAGCATTCGATATTTTAGTGGCTGAAACGCGGAACATAAAATAATGTCAATAATTAAGTAAAAAACAAAAAAATTGATAAATGAAATAAATTATTATCTTATGCCAAGTGTCAGATCTTCAAGTGATGCTGATGCTGATGATGATTTTGATTGTTGTGCAGCTGCAGACATTAAGCAGCTTACAACTGGATGGGGGAAACGGCTTAGAACTTGCCACACGAACAATTTATGTGCACAAATTAACAGTGCAACAGCAAGCCGCAACCAGGAATAAATGGCTGCTGCATAATGGCAATCAAATGACTGCCACATAAATTTATGAGCAGCGTCTGCCAAATCTGCCAGCACTGGGAGCTGTCAGGGAACGCGTGCTGCACAGCCAGCAGCTGGAACAGAGACAGCAGCAGCACCACCAGAAGAGAAAGGAGCACATGTGGACCAGGAGAGGTAGCAGCTGAAGAAGCAGGAGTCAGAGCAGCATAAGAATTAATGGCGCGCAAAAGAACCAGGAAAAGGAGTGCAAAACTCGTTTCGCACATCTTTGTGTGTGTCTTTGTGTGTGTGTGTGTGTGTCTGTGTGTGCGTGTATGTTGCATGTTGCTTGACTCGTGCTTTGCCCTCGACGGCTCCTGCATCTCGTCCTGGCTAAATTTAGCACGAGCTGCCAACTCAAAAAAGGGCTTAAGCTTCGGCTCAACTCCAGCCAACTCCAACTACCAAAAATAGTCGTGGACTTTGCACACCAGTTGCGGCTGACTGTTGTTGTTGTTCCTGTTATTGTTGTTATTGTTGTTGTTGTCGTGGCTGCGCGCCATTTTCTACTCAATGCAACAACGCACAAATGCAACTGATTGCATTATTTATTTACACATCAGATCAACATTTGTATATAGAATATATAGTGTATATTTAATTTATTATTTATTCACTAGTGTGGTAAATGCAAGCATTCATTTTTTTAAGTGTAATATAGAAAATGCGTTCATTTAAAATGTAGAAAATTTCTTTAAAATGTAGACTAGCATTTCTTTATATCAATTTTATAAATGATTCCATTCTACTTTGTTTAGATAGCTCAACTTTTAGTTAACTGTTAATGCTCGCCTAGAATATATATATGAATTTAAGCACTCTGGAATCGGAGATGTCTTCTTCTGCCAGTTGCATATATTTACACAGCTTGATGAGTCCATTTTGCGAGTTCTTCAAGCTGAATTCGTTTTACGTTTGTTTTTAGTTCTTGTCATATTTGTGGGCACTGCACAGTTTTCGATTTTCGATTTTCGATTTTCTATTTTCAATTTTCCACTTGTGCCGCATTTGAACGATTTCTTGTTGTTGCCTTTCTATGCAGGATTTCTTCGCCTGTTTGTTTGTTTGTTTGTTCGTTTGGCTGCTTGTAATCTTTCTGCTGATCTTGCTGCCTGTTTGTTTGTTTGTTTATTTGTTTTGCTCCGGTTTTGGCGCGTGTGCAGCAAACTGTACCAAGATCAATAACATCGACAACAGGAACAGCAACTGCAACAGCAGCAACAACAACAAGCATATTGCACGTTAGTTAGTTTGTTGGCCAAGTGCAGTCAGTTTGCTGGCTCAACAAGAGCAACAAGAATAGTAATCGCAACTATGGGCAACTGTACTCGGTTCACGTATTCGACACTGACTCTAGGCACCAAGGCGCATCCTGTCCCCCGGTTCCTCCTGTGTGTGTGTGTGTGCATCCATAAGCAAACATCAGTGCAGTTGCCGTTGTTGTCGCGACAAGCAGCATAAACTGCAGTTGTCATTACCAACAGCAACAGCAAAAGCAACAAAATCAACTGTTGATGGCAAATTTATGTTTGCCTCGTGCCCAAGTCAAATATGAAGGCAAAGGAGCAGCCGGAGCAGAAGCAGGTGGAGAAGAAAAACCACACGAGTGACAGATAAGTTGCACTGACTACACCGCCAATGGACTTGGTCAGACACTGCACTTAGAAAAAAAATTAGCTCTGAATTATGGCAAGGTTAACTCACCTTATTATTCAGAGTGTATTTTTCTTAAGACCAGCGTTTTTAAATCTGTTTTGAATACTTGAAAAAAGTAAATATGAGCTGCATATTTTTAGGGTTTTCATTTCATAATTATTTGGTAGATTTCTGCAATTAGCAATATTTTGCAGGGCATATTTTTCTCAGTGTGTATTGTCAGTCACGCTAGTTGGCTATCGCCAATATCGGATAGTCATCGTTAACATCATTTGCAGACAATGACTGATGGAGCTGCCGGAGACGCGTTTAAATTGCTCTTTGATAGATACAAATACGGCAACAGATACAGGTACAAAAAGGGAGTGAGCAATTGGAGACAGGACTTGAACCGGTTCGAGCGTCAATTGACATTGAGCATGGGTCAGACCATTAGCCAAGCTATCTAGAAGGTCAGAGATCGGCTTAGGATAACCAAAAACGAGATATCTTTTAGCAGCAGTTCAACAAATCAAACAGTAGGAGTGGAGGAGCCTCAACTCGATCCGAGGGGTCAAATCTATGAGGTGATTATCTCATTCCTCGCATTCCTCGTCCTCTCCCAATCCTTACGAGGGTCAGGTATTCATAAGCCGCTTAACAGTTTCCATAAGTAACCCCCAATAACACAGAAAAGAAACTCCAAGTAAATCAAATGATTGCCACTCCCAAACATTAGATCAAGTTGAAACTAATTTTTTAAAAAAATGTTCACCAAATATTATGGAATGTGAAAGCAATTTCTTGTATTCCAATAAGAAGAAAGAGTAACCTAAGTGTAAATTCTTGAATTGGTAAAAAAAAAGTTTATTAACTTAAAAAATGATGACATTCAAAGTGTCCGACTTGCAAATTTCATAACTTTAACTAATCTGAAAAGATTTTGATTGATGAAAGCAAGAAAATATAAAAATTGTTTGAAAATTGTTGCCAATTATTGAGGGTCAACTGAGAAGTGAGCAAAAAAACAACCAAGTTCGATGGGTAAAGTGAGGATCTGTTTTTTTAGCATTATCATGATTGTGCAGATGAGGCAGCATAAACTGAGTGGCTAATCGCTTCATTAATTAAATGGAAAATTGATGAAGAAACAACAACTACAACAACAACATCAACAACAAAAATCAATGCTCAACAACAGGCGGTAATTAAAAGATCTGCTCAACAACGCTGATCAGCGACTCCAAGTCCAAGTGCCAGTTGGCAATGACAATTGTGTAGTGCTTGAATAGAGCTGTAGAGAGTTGGCAACGGAGATGGAGATATAGGAGGGGAACGGCGAAGTAGGAGCCTGCTGCCTGCTGCCTGCCTGCCACAGGCTGCATTTGGGTGCAGCTGTTGAACCGGTTTGGCGCGTGTCGCCGCTTACTCCGATGTCCAATGTCCGATGTCCGATGAACGTCTGTGCATATTAAGCGTGCTCCTCTTTCTCTCGGTTAGGTTTTATTCTTTTTTCTTTTTGTTGTTGTTGTTGTTCTTGTTGCACAAATGAATTAATTAAGGAAGGGGCTTAAGTGACAACGACGCTGATGGAGGGCCATTAACATTAACAGTTGAGAATGGCAAATGGCAAATGGCAACTGGCGAATGGCGAATAGCGAATGGCGACTGCCGAATGGAGAAAGGAGCAGCTGTGCCAGAGACAGATGCACATACAGAGAGCGCTAGAAGTACTCCTTGCCGAGGCGACGTCGTTCCTCTGACTTTCCGCCAGTCGCCGTCTGTCCATCCGTCTCGCCCATCATGTTCTCAAGCATGCGCTCCTGCTTGGAGTTCAGTGCAGCCAAATAAATATCTCGCGTGGCACGAAAGTGTCCACAATTGTACAGATGCTCGTGCTCCAGCCGTAGATAGTTCCAGATGAACCGACTATTACCAACAATTAAACAGAGATCGAAAGAAAGAGTGAGAGAGGGAGAGAGGCCCCGTTGTCAGTCACAGTCAGAGTAAGAAGACATCACTTACCGCGTGATCTCTAAAATGCTGGCAAAGGTCTTGATATTATAGGGTGTAATCAGCTGATGGTAGAGTACCACAAATTCTATGGCCCAGAAGCAGCGCAAAATAAGATTCTCGATGATCACAAAATAGTAGAAGGCCGTCGGATAGACGAGCTTCTCGCGCAGGAACAGATGCTCGCTTCCACGCCAGATCTTCAAGATGCCGAAATCCTTGATGACGTCCCACAGATAGCAATAGACTGTCGACACCATGTAGCTAAATATGAATAACCAGGTATAGGGATTGCTAAACGTATTCGCATAGTCATCTGCAAAAGACTGCCAGAGAGTGAGTGATGTGTGTCCTGTCAGTGGATGTGTCCGTATCCGTACCATCCGTGCGACCACGCATTGTCGCAAAGAAGACCACAACGAAGGTGGTCGAATATTTGCCCACATTTAGCAAATAGCTGACAGACTTGGAGCCACTGTCCCTGAACCGTCTCAGGCATTGGGCGCATCGAAACCAGGCGGGCAAACAACGGGAGATGGGCACAAACATATCCTCCTCAAAGCAGAAGTCAACGCTTGCATAGCGCAGCCAGCACATTGCGTAGAACCTAACGATATAGTAGTAGTCAGCCATGCAGATCACCAGCGAGTTCATCTGATCGCCCATCCAGAAGTCGGCGAAGCCTACATAATGCAAAGGTGCGGTGATGACGCGTCCAATCAGCCGTATCGTCCACCAACGGGCCGGCCAATTCATTATGGGCAGCGGATTGACGAGCAGTGTGATCATGATTAGGGTCAACGCCAGCGGGAACACAAACGGGTCTGGCACACTGATCAGATCGTGGAATAGAAAACCGAGTATCGAGAGCGTCCACAGCATGCCAAAGGTGCAGGCGATCTCCAGGAATGTGGCCGGCTGCAGATGACTGCGCGGATCAATCTCAAAGATGAGCACATGATTGACGCCCGAGCGCTGCCACCCGGCCACATTGGCGGCCATGTAAAAGTTAAAGATTACCCACGTGAAGGGTCCACGATAGAGACGCATGAACGCCTCAACATTGCCAGCTACTGGCGGCCTCCGGATGTCTAAGCGTGAGCGAGCACTGCGTTTTAGTTAAGTTTAGTGAGGAGAAGCGGTTACAGATTAAGGATGTAAATCGCATTCGAAAATCTCGATGTTACCATGCATATTGCAATGATGTATCGCAATCGTAATCGATTTTTTGTTTTGCTTTTTGTTTTTTACATCCCTAGTTGAAGTGCAACGGGTACAATTGGAGAGTCGAGACTCACAGCTGAACAACGTGGTCATGGCAAGCATGAGGAACATGCCCAGGGCGAGACCCGCGCGGAAAACCATTCGCGGCGGCGCCGGTTCGCCCAGCGGCGGCACACGCAGCTTGTTCATGGCCCGGGCCCGATCGCCCCCCGCCAAATGGTTGGTGTAGAGCTCCTCCACCTCGATGATCATAAGCTCGAGGGCGCGCGGATTCGTGAAGGCGGCATGGCTCACATTCCGCTCCATCCAAACGGCACCGCGCGTCGAATGCAGATACTTGTCATACTTCTTGCAGATCTTGCGGAAGCCGGTCTCATTCAAGGACTGAAAGTTCTGCAGCAGCACCAGCGTCAAGTAGAATTCGCTGTAGGCGTGACGCAATTGGCGCTGGGTCATCAGCTTGCCATTGCCAGGTCGACTGGCATTGCCAGACTGCATCGAGAAGGCGCTGGCGGTATGGCCCGGCGCCTGCACGGTGGCCAGCAGCTGAAGCTTCAGTGTGCCGTGCTTGCGTCGTGCCTCCGCCAACTTCTCCAGGAAGAAGTTGTTGACCCGCGTCAGCTCGTGCTGGCACTCCGTGAAGAACTGCTCCTCGAAGGCCGCATAGTAGGCGTTAAGTTCCGTTGGCGTTGCCACATCCGACGACGGAGCACCGTTCACACCTTGCCGGATCAATGTTTTCAAGTCCTTGGAGGGGCATTGTTATTGTTATTTGTCGACTGACAAATTGAGGTAAATTTATTGCTGCTGCTGCTATGGCTGCTGGCTCACCGTATATCGCAGGTATTGCTGTCGCCATTCAATGGTCAGGTGCGTCTCAAAAGTCTTGCCAAATTTCATTTTTGGCGCCGGCCCCACAAGCAGCGCATGCGTCGCTGTCGACAGACTGGGACTGAGGCTAAGATTGGCGCTGATTTTCAGTCTTGTCAATTTCAACAAATTCTGACATGTTTCTCACACGAGTGCCAATGACAGTCTTAAACTTGAAAACACAATCAAACACAACGACAAACGCACATCCTGCTCCAAGTTTATTGTATATCGTAAACCAAATAGATTTCTCGTGATGAATTTATATATAGTCGGATAGCTTGTTGTATATTACTCTATGAGGAAAACTCAGTAGCTGGCGTGTTATCAGTCGTGTCTGCACCCATATTTTCTGAGCTGTGACTCAGTCTGCTCACGCTGCTCAGCTGGATGACCCTTCTGAGAGCTCTTCGTTTCTCATTGCGGTTCGCACGCCCGCAAATTACTTTACCAGAACGAACCCAGTCAAATGTTATTGCTTTTCTTTTCTTTTTGTTTTTTTGGCAACTTACTTCCTGTCTGGTAGCCAAGTGAGTCATTTTCTACATCTACTTCCTCCTTTCCCACTCGTCTTCCTCTTCAACATGTTCCTCTTCTTTTTCTTGCTGCATTAGCTTGTCGCTGCGGCTCGTTGAGTGAGCCAAATTATCGCAGGCATCAGCCAACAAACAAGTAAGAGAACAACAGAAGAATAAGAGCATTTATTGTGACAGCGCAACTGTTGCACTGCATGCAGTTTGCATGCATGCTACATACAAGCCACTTGTACTGGCAGGGAAGGGAGGGGGCGTGCCACTAACCACTGTTATATGCCCATAAACAACAGCAACAGTAAATTAAATTTGCCACAGTCGACAGCGTGACAATCGCCCAAAAAGATTGAATTAAGAAAATCTAAAATAATTATTTCGTGCATTTCTTATTTTGTTTGAAATTAATAAAAAAGAACAGTACGCGATCGGAGATGTCTCCGCTTGCACTTGCCAAAAAAAAAAACAAAACGAAATTAAAACACCTTCTGCAAGGGAGTACAGAAAAAAAAGAATTGTTATCGAACAATTTGGGAGAACCTGGGCTCGTCCGGGAGTTGAACCCGGGACCTCTCGCACCCGAAGCGAGAATCATGCCACTAGACCAACGAGCCATGCTGATCGACGGCGATCAAGCTAACAATAAGTACTACATGTATGTAGGTATGTAGACATGTATGTATATATTGTATATATGCCTTATCATTTGCAACAATACGACACGAGAGAGAGAGAGAGAGAGAGAGAGAGAGAGAGAGAGAGAGAGAGAGAGAGAGAGAGAGAGAGAGATAGAGAGAGGGGTTAGTGAAATGACGAAACGGAATTCCAGGCACTGCCGACTTGAGTGGCTGCCACTTGTATGGCTGCCGATGATGATCACCCGCCTACGACAAAGTGCCGCTAGAAAACGGCATCAAAGCAAACCACAGCAAGGCACAACAACAACAACAACAACAACAGCAGCAACAACAAGAACAATATTAATGAAAAGGTTCTCAAGAATCTTGTGCTACTCTTCTTGTTGTGGTTGTTGCTGCTCGTTAATGTCATTGGCTTGCGATCGCATTACATCAGAGATGCAAATCCCGAGAAAGAGTTGAATGAAATAAGTTAAAGTGAAGAACAACAAAAGTACAATAGAAGATTAATAATTCACTTTAGTATTTATTGGCAAAGCTGAACAACTCTCATTGAGACGTCTTGTTGACGAGTTGTTGCTGCTGTTAATGTTATTGGCTTGCGATCGCATTACATCAGCAAATCCAGAAAAAGAGAAAGGGATCAGAAGTCAGAGCGAGGACAGCTGCCAAAAATGACAAGTTTATAGCAGTAAAAGAAGATCGCGTGCTCATTATTCATATTCACTTTATCATTTACCAATTGTGAACGAAGCACAAAAAAGCTCTCATTGAAAATATTTGACTTGTTTTTTGTTGCTGCTGCTGCTCTTAATGTCTTTTGCTTCCGCACAGTGAGCGACAGAGAGCAGCGTAGATCGAGGACAGCTGACAAATACATCAGCAGTACAACAGAAGAAGAAGACGAAGAAGATTGCCAGCTCATCATTAAAATTCAATTTAGTATTTATTATTGCGATTGGCAACTTTTGACTTGTTGTTGTTGTTGTTGTTGCTGTTATTAGTTTTGCTGCTGGCGCGTGCCCAGCACAAAATATTTTCGATTTAAGCTTGCAACCGTAATAAATAATCGAATTTGTCATTATTTATTAAACTTTTTATATTCATTTTGGGGTTTTTTTTTTTTTTGGCAACGAGCCACGAGACGATTAATGTTTGTCAGTGGTTTTTTTTGTATAGTGACGGCTGTGAAAATTAATTAATAAAGCAGCCGCAACATTTTTATGACCCGTAGCTCGAGGGTGCACATACCTACGGTATTTATGTATGTATGTGAAAGGGTTTTTGGAGAGCTCATTGGAACTGAAAGAACAGTATCGAATGAGTTGATCATATTTCTCATTCGGTGCTCAACAAATACGACTTATAAATAATAGATCCACAAAAGCTACAAAGCCCGAGGCAGGCTTTTATTTTTTAATTTTTCTTCTTTTTTTTTTGGGTACTTTTGTGTAGAATCAATTTGCCAGTTAGATTTCATTCAAAGTATTTAATCATACTTAGATTCGGGTCAAAAAGAAGCCGCCCTTTGCCGCTCATAAACATATTCATTAGGCAGCAAACATAGAGCAATTAAAGGGGACCACACACCACACACACACACACACACACACACCTGAGCGAGCGTTACCCGAGGCCTAAAAAGTTTCACAGTCCACCAATCATTTGAAAGGGCCATTTGAAATGACCATCACTAAATGACGCTAAACACTTTCAGTTGTCTTGTTGTTGTTCAGCCAGCTCAATTTGTACAGAGAGAAAGAGAGAGAGAGAAAGAGATAGAGAGAAAGAGAGAGAGAGAGAGAGAGAGAGAGAGGAAGAGAGCAACAGAGCAACAGGAAACATTTCCCTTTTTATACACGACAGTTAGACAGGAAGAAAACTGTTTTGGTCGATAAGATGACTTATCTTGTGCGCCTTGCCAAAGATCGTCGAGGGTCAATTGGCCTAAAAACGGAAGTAGCTGCACAGAAGCAGAAGCACATGGGAAGCGCAACATCCGATTTGCCAATATTGTGTTGCACCGCAACAGCAGCCACTGCACAGCCACAGTGGAGGAGCACCACCCATCCACCACACAGCAGCACACAGCACCGCACACAGCAAAAAGAAGGCAGAGCGGCGACTTCCGTTTCAATCGCAAATTAGCAACTGGACAATGCCAACAATTTTCATAGGAGCTATCGATATTGCCTTGGTTTATTCTTGGTGCGGTGCGGTGCGGTGCAGTGCGGTGCGTGCGTGCAACTTGTGCAACTTCCGTGCAACTTGTGTTGCAACTTGCGCTGTTGCACTTGCTCCACTTGGCAAATTGGCGCAGTAGCAACTGCAAATTACCGCATTCAGTAATTACTAATGTCAGCTCGCTCAGGTCTCGCCAATTGGCATGCGTAATTGGCTAATTGAAATGAACGATTGATTGATTGTTATTGAGCATTGAGGATTGCCACATCCGATGCGTCGATGCAGCCAACAACAACAGCAACAGCAACAAACAAACAAAACGAAACGAAACTTAACAAAACGAAGCTCATTAATCATTGAATTTCCCAAGCTGCATTTAAGGTGCTGCTTTGATTCAAAAGCCCCTTCGATTTTCATTTTATAAGCATCTTAGCATCGGATTGCTTCAACCCGACCAGGGTGGTCTGCTTCAAATCCCCCCGACCCTATTTCATCTTCCGCTGCTCGTGGGTGGACCACACAAGCAACAATTGAGCTACAATCCACACGCACACACATTCAGCCACACGCACGCACACACACACACACACAAGCAGGCCGATTTTCCCAATAATGGCCAATTCCAGCAAAAAGACAACGCAAAAAGCTGCAGTGCTTGACTACCAGATATCCTACATAAAAATATAACCAAATTTATCATTTGTATTAAAGAATTTATTAATCATCTTAAATAAATATTTGTTTCTTTTCTCAAATATAGAAACATTCATTAAGAATGCAATAAATCCTACGATGACAATCTAAACATCTGCAAATGTTTAAAGAAATTTCAATTTTCTGCTTAGACTCAAGTTTACATTTGTGTTTGTAATTTGATTCAGATAATCATTCAAACATTTTCGAAAATAAACTTAATATGCGTACCCAAAACATATAAATTGGCATACCTTTCCAGACAATTCCAACGGGTAGAGGGTACAACAATATCAAAAAGAAACTGGAGCGACCAGCGAAATTTTCCTCTGGTCGAGCATCGTTAGTAGCGACGCCAATGAAAATTGGCGCACCTGTTGCTTCATTATTGCCACTATACTTATTGCTGTGATTATTATTATTATTATTTTTATTGTTATTATTATCATGGGGTATTGTGTGAGGCAGCCGAATGCTGGCTGGCCAAATCGTAGAGTGGAATTGGACTGCCGGCAGCAGGAAATGAGCATTCTTGGGTCAGCAATTACAAAAAAATAAAAATAAGAAATGTACCAAAAATTTGAAAAAAAAAAAACCAAAAGAAAGAATTTAAAATGCCGCCGCTTTCACCTTTCCGCCGCCTGTCTGCCAGTCGCATTTAGATATGCGAGCCGCGGCATGGCGAGGCACGGCGAGTCAAGTTTTCTTGCCGGTGACCAGGGAAATGCATGTAAATGGAAATGGAAATGCCGTGTAAACAGCGAGCTGCCGCACGAGCTAATTGAAAAATGCTAACAACTACAACAACAACAGGAACAACATGTAGCGCATGTCAAATATCCGATTTGAATTCGGATTTGTTGAGGCTCAAGACTTTCGATTATGCTGCCTCAATTAGTGGACTAAAAATTGGACTAAAGTAAGCCATCAAAGTGCGTCAAGCGACAGGCGATAGAAGCATTTAAAGCAAATCAGAGGCACTCTTAAAGGCAGCTCGACTAGCAGATATCCTGTAGCCAAGTCTTTAAAACGAAATGTCTATCACTCATATATATGTTGGATCGGGATAGTTATA